CTCAAGTCCTTGTATCAGAGAAGGTAAAAAGTGCCAAGTGCCCAAGTATATACCTGTAATCCCAGCTACTCAGGAGGCTGAGGCAAGATGATGACTTCAGACCATGAGTTTAAGTCCAGCCTGAGGAACAGTAAAGCTAGGCTCAAAATAAACAAAAGCAACAAAAACCAAATGGTGACTTTGGAACCACTCAGATTGCAAGTGTACACTCTACCTTGATTGTGTCCAGAAGGAAAGTGGTCCTCTACATAAGTGCTTCTCCAATGCATTCCTTCTCAGGAGTCTTAATATTCATTAACCATCAGTAAAGCTTACCAGGTGGGAAAATCAAACAGTACTGTCTATTTCCAGGCAGCTTGCAATCTAAAACAGCTTTCACAATGCACATTACAGAACTCTTATCTCTTCTCCCCCTAGACATCTTCCAAGGCTCTACTCTTCCATAAGTACTGTCAAATTGGGGGCTGCACCTCGACAAAAAAAATTATTCCTGTTACTAAAAAAACAATAAAGCATGTTATGGAATAGTTCATTAACTAGGCAAAGATGTGTTGCATTTCTTTATGCAGCATTTGTTTAATGGTATAAAGATGTGCTACATTTGTTTATGCTGCATTTAATTATTAAAGATGTGTTGCGGTTTCACCTTGCCTGCCTAAGGCACCTGGTTAGTCTAATAAAAAGTGGAATGGCCATTAGCCAGGCAAGAGAGGGATAGGCAGCACTGGCGGGAAGAGAGAATAAGTAGGAGGAAGACAGGGAGAATGAGAAAGAAAGGAGGTAGAGAGGGACATGCCCAAGGCCAGCCAGCCAGCCAGCCAGAGGACATACAGAAGGAAAAAAAAGGTAAAAAGCCCCAAGGCAAACTGTAGATGGAGAGAACAGGTTAAAATGAGTTATAAGAGCTGGTGGGGCAAGCCTAAGATAAGGCCCCACCATTTATAACTAATAATAAGTCTGTGTCATGATTTGGGAGGTGGTTGGTGGCCAAAACAAAGAATGTTCAAAAGTAGATTTCTATAAAATGCTTAATAGCTGTAGTTTTTGCCCCATTTAGTATTACAAGTGACGTGTGAAGTTTGTCACAATTAGTAAGCTCAGCCACCAAATCACTTTTCAACACCCTTCTTTTTATTGAAATACTATAGTCCTTCCCCTCTACCACAGCAATTTTATGTATAATTTCTAAATTTTCCTATTTAATGCTTCTTTAAATGAGATCTTTGGGATAAAAATATTTGAACATTAGATGACTTCAAAAATATCAAGGGCTTTTATAAGCTTACTTTGAAAAAAAAAATGTGACTTGTACTTTCTGCTCACTAAGCAACTTCATTAACCTCATATTCTAACTCCCCCAAGCCAGAATGACTAGGACGCAGCTCAGTTGGTAGTTCCCCTTCCCACGGGTACAGGCACTGAGCTTGATGTCAGCATCTTGTCTTCCATAGATAACGCAGCAAGTTCAAGATCAGCCTGGAGCACATGTGATTATGCTTCCAAAGTACCCAAAATTGCTAAGAATCATGATTTTCAGAGCACTGAATAAAATATGTATTACATTAACTCCAATAATGCACATTTTAAGCCTATAGTGACCAGTAACTGAGAATGTAAAACTCTACAATGCAAACCTTCAATTACTTAAACCACAGTCATACTTTTTTATACCAAGTTTTCCTAGTTAAATAAAAACATTGCCATCAGGTAGATAACCCGGAAAATATTCATGATTTGCAAGGAATTGTCTTCCAAACAAAATAGATTACTTATCTATTTTTAACTGCTTTTTCTAGGGTTGAAGATGGAGCTCAGGAGTAGAACACTTGATGAGCATGCCCTGGATTTCATCTCTAGAAACACCAAAACAAAACAGCCTTTTCTTTTGATGACATTTAAAAAAAAAAGAGAATCAGACAGAAGTACAACTATTTATTAGCTTATTTTCTTCTTTCATTGTCTATTTAATGCTTTGTGTGTATCAGCATGGACTTCAATAAAAATATACTTTTTATTCTAGAGAAAAGCAAGTTAGAAGACTTAAAATATTTAAAATGTATTAACAAATTTCTATTTGGCAGGTCTTTGTGTATTCTTGAATATGGTTTAGAGATGGAAATTCCATCCTGGATTTTATCGGTTGTTTGAATAAAAATGAGCATTTACCATGTCTTATACTAAACTATTTAATAACATCATAAAATTTATTAAAAACGCCACTTCCAAGAACAAGGAACTCTGGCAACAATGTTGTAAAAACATATCACTAACAGCGAGACTGCCCTTCTGACTCCTAGATGTGCCTATACTTTGTTAAAGATCGAAGGTAAACTTCAGTAGTTGAGAATGTCATAAAGAAATAACCAGAAGGGTAAAGATATTCTGTACCAGGGCCTCTGAATACATAACTGTGGTTGTTCAACTTGGGGTTTCTGTGGAACTAACAGTGGGAGTCAGGGTGTCTCCGACCCCTTTGCCTGCTCTCAGAACCCTTTTTCTACTACTGGGTTCCCTCATCCAGTCTTGATATGAGGGTCTGTGCCTAGTCTTATTATATCTTGTTATGCTATGGTTGGTTGGTATCACTGAGAGTCCTGCTCTTTTTTGAAGGGAAATAAAGGAGCAATGGATTGGGGCAGGGCGGGGGGTGGGGGGGTGGAGGGAGGGGGGAAAGGGAGGAGTGGAGGGAGGGGTGGAAAGGGAGGGGTGGAGGGAAGGGAAACTGCAGTTGAGATGTATTGTATGGGAGTAGAATAAATAACAAGAAAAAAGCTGGGTTGCGGAGGCACATGCCTTTAATCCCAGCACTCGGGAGGCAGAGCCAGCCTGGTCTACAGAGTAGTTCCAGGACAGGCACCAAAACTACACATAGAAACCCTATCTCGAAAGAAAAAAAAAAAAGAAAGAAAGAAAGAAAAAAAATTCTAGCTTCCCTACATTATTACATGTAATTTTTTAAAAAAAGACTAAAGCAGAAAAAAAAATCATTCTTTTGAAGAAATACTTTTGGGTAAAGTAGAAACTGACAGCATAATCTGAAAAATACCCACAGGACTGACTATATATTTGTGTACATGTGTATGTGTGTGTGTTTACATGTATGTAGCTACAAATTTTAACAATTTCATCAAGCACCATTTCTATTAAGAAATATTACTGTTTAAAAACTAAACTTTTAAATAGATTATCAAGATTTATACCCTTTAAGATAAAGATGTACTTTTAATCCCCAAACTCTGTCACAATTAGACAGGTTATTATCAAGCTTTTTATACGTGATACATGAACAGCTACAAAGAAACACAAAAGATTATGTAATACTTGTAATGTAATAGAATTAACTACGAAAGGAACACGCTGAATGTGAGAAAAGGGCCCACAGACCAGATGGGGAAAGGGGGTCTCTATCACTATCAGATTACAAGAACTTCTGAAAACATTTTTATGAATTTGTGAATCACAATGTAAGCATTTTATATATAATTTTACCTTCAGACTCCTTAGCAGCCATTCCTAGTCATCACTGCAATATTTTGTACTTATTCAACATAGAAAGAGCTTTTTGGCCACCAAATGGACTCAAGAGAAAACCCAGCAGTAGAGAGGACAAATGGTAATTAAGGTTTGTGCATGAACGAGAAGAGGCACTGGGGCTACCACACTGGAACCATGGCTGAGCTTAAACAACTTCATGTGAGAACAGAGAGTCAAGAGTGAAAGCAGAAACATGTGGCTATTTCTTCACTAACAGTTTCAGAAATCTCAACTGTGTATGCATGGTGGATACAAATCTTATTTATATAAATGTAACTGTTGTAAGATGTAGGATAATTTTAAAACATTAACAACTGTTTTTATTAAGACTATTTTATTTTTAAAATTTCCAAAATATAAAAATAATAAACATGGATATTTAATAAACAAAACAACATAATTCAACTATAAATAATAGAAGTGTTGACAACCCACATAAACACAGTTACTATAAACATTCTGTGCATACAAGAGTAGTTTTCTAGTTCAAGTTTTACCTTTTCAGTTCAAGTTTTATCGTCACTTTTAAAAATAAACAAGAAAGCTGCTACAGCTTAACCAGTTACTTTCGCTCCCCTCAAAGAGCAGGGAATTTCCCCCATGCCAACACGCATTCATGAAATGGGATAATTATGGGCACAGGTACTAACCACTGGAACAACCCAGTCTTCAAACAAGAAAAGACTCCTTTGGTGTTTTCAGATTCAACAACAGTCCATAGAAACTGAGTTAAAATAAACCACTTATTAAAGAAAATCTTGTACCAGACAGTATGTTCTGAAGTATTATCACAGGTTTAGGATTCTGAGAATCAAAAGTAAACATGTATGAATGCTTTGCTGATACTTAACTGTATCTTAAGAACATTCACTAAGGTGCTAGAATAAAATCTTGGGGTCAAAATGAAAATTAAACATCAAGGGAATAACTCATTTCTTTATAACTCATCAAATATTCTGTAAATATCTGTAAGAAATACTCTGCCTTCAGTTGAGTAAAGGACAGATGAGAATTTAAAGCAGAGTAAAATTACATAATTATTTTAGGACTAGAAAAGTTTCCATTTCAAATATGAGGAAAAAACCATGCTTGAATATATTACTTTAAAATTCTAATCAAATTAATAGCCTTCCTCTTATCAAAATAAACTATTTCTTTTGGGAGAAGCTGGGCACAAATAAGGATTCAGTCATTCTGCATCATTTCCTTAAATTATTAGGTATTCTCTAATGGGGCTGGGCTCTTACCCCGATTCAACACATACCACTTTATAATTCTGCGGCTAGCTGGATTACTGTAAGCGAGAATAGATTAAAGCCTAGCAAAGACTAGACAACAGATCCAATGACACTGAAGGGTTTTATAGCACCAATGACTGTTTCCTAAGACACTTGAGGGGACTGTATCACTTTAAAGTATTATCTTGTAAACAAGACCAAAAATATTTAATTGATCTGTATTTTGAGCATAAATATTTATAAATTCTATTTAAAAAAAACAACAAATATAGCATGACTAGAGCGACCAAGTGTAAAATCTAAGTATATTGAAAAATATAAAGATATATAAAAGGCTTCCTTAATGCAGTCATGCAGAGGTAAACTGCTCCATTCAATTACACAAAAATGATTCTGTACAGTTATGTACACATCACTCCACGACGAGTTTATTCAGGAACAAATTTTAAAAGAGAATCTTTAGTAACCAACATATAAGGACTTAAATGTACCTGACCAACTGATTTCCCCAACAATTTTCAAAAAATGCAGTGATCTTAAGGAGACGTCAACTTGACTTCTGATTCCCAAGGGCATATTCCATTTTGTTTTGCTTTGTTTTTGATTCAACAGCAAAAGGAAAAAGTAATAGCAAAATAACTTTAAGGTGACAGCATGTAGCATTCGCCAATTAACCCATCAAAAGAGTTACTTGCAGGTATGGTCTCTTCAGACAATGTTCTTTGGCTCTAACTTAAGCAGCTACAACATTACCACTGTAAAGACTTCTTTGAAAATAAAAAATATAAACTATTCTGGTATGAATTCCTCATGGCTATCTGAAAATTTGTTAAAAAAACAACAAAAAAGTATGTCTGGGGAGGGGGGGTAAACAAACAAAATGCCTTGTAGGCTATTAGGTGGTAATAATTACTTAAAATACATGCTTTTCCTTTAACCATGCATGTATAATCAATGTGGATCAAGACAGATAATTTATAACATGACTAATGAGTTTGTTACATTTTATTATTCATGAAGACAACCACAATGCATATTCAAGAGGGAAAAAGTGTTTGTAGGATAACAGCTTTGTATAAGAAAGTATGACTGAGTAGAAATTAAAAAAAGAAAGGAAAAAAAAGGCAGAATCAATATAATTTGGATTTTTCTAAGAATGGCTATGTTAGATTTCTCAAATACCTATAAGAATCTATGGGTGAATACTCAACTTAGTGAAAAAATAATTCTGGTGTGCTATAAAAAAGATTTTGTTAATATTTAGAATGATAATTTTAATTGTCCACTTTCTAAGTTTAAGCTATATTGCTTATTATTAGCACATACACTTTCAAAGCAGCTGAAAACTAGTGTTTAAAAAAATGTAACACTATTTCCCCTTGCTTGAAAGATTGTCTTTGATGCCTTGATTACAAGTGATGAAAACTGTATAAATTAGACAAATTTAGTAGATGTTCAATTTTAGAACCCATAGGTCATCATTTATTACTTGAAAAGAAATAAAATTATTTTCCTTGTTTTTGAAGAGTTAAGAGCAACAACAAAAAGTTCACTGGAGTAAGTCGCCCTGGCAATCACATGAATGAATGAATACACTCACAAGAACAGACAAATTCATTACAATATGTGAAAAGTACTTTATAGTTTCTCAAAATTATTTTTAGTGGCTATCCTAATTCAATAAATACATCCTAAAAATAAGAAAAATTAAAGCCAAACATATGTTTAACTTTTTAATTCATTTTCTTCATTCTAAACTGTTCAATTAATGCTCTCGTGGCTTTATAGATTTCCCAGACACAATTCTCAGTTTGGCTGCCATGTAATATATCTCATACGGAAACTAAAAGTCCTTGTTCCTTCTTAGGGTGTTTTACAAATTAAATTGCTATAAAATAAGGAAAGAAAACATTTATGAGTAAGGTCAGAAACTTCACACATTTGATAACACCTCTGGGCCGAGATGTACTCGTACAGACTGGAAAGATAAAATGGTCATCACAGTACATGTAAACATCTGCTCAGATTGGAAAAGGGCAAACCAAATGACAGGATGGTGATATTAACAGTCATCTCCGACAACAGGACAGGACAGGGCTTGCTCATGTAGTCACAAAGCTAAATTCAGGCAGTGATGTTCTCTCTCTGCTGGAAAAAGAGAACAATTATTAACAAATACATAAATAACAGAAGAACCCAAAAACTGAATTGCAATATGAACTAACTCTAACTTATTAAAACATTTTAAAAAGTCTACTTGAGAAGAATCGAAATTAAAGTTACAAGTTCTATCAAAGATTACCTTTGGACTAAAGTGACTTTTAACAAAACCTCTGTGCACCATACTTTCTAAAAACATTATGTGCCAAGATCACAGCACTACAAAGTAGATGTCATTGGGGGCGGAGGGGAGTTAGAAAATCTAACTGTTCAGGTGGCATTTTTACATAGAGCTGTGAGTAGGCAAAAAAAAAGTAAATAAATAAAAATCATGTACAAGCCTCAAGTCACTGTAAATAAACCAAAAGCAAAAGCAAATTCCTTAAAGTTTCCCAAAGATTTTCAAAATAATTAGGATATCTTATTTCTTTAAACTCCATATAATGATCATTTCTTCCTTTAATCATCCTACATGACACAAAATCCTAAACCAAGCACTAAGTGCAACAACAAAACTGTTCAAAAGGAACACATAATGAGACAGTGCCTGGCATACGAAGAAAGACTAACTTTAGGTGGGTAAGATGAGTGGATGAAATAAAGAAATAGAGGGGAGATTTAGAAAAGATCAAATATAAAAAGTTGATACAAATAAGTAAAATTTAAAAATGTTTTCACTTAAGTAATGAACACAAAATACTAACAAACTATATCAAGTTTTTCTACTAAGCATATCTGCATTCATTAGAAATTACTGATAATGGTAATCATGGCCAGCAATTTTTTTCCTTTCCTAGGAAAATTGGGTAGCTATTTAGAAGATTATGATTCTGTGGGCTAAGAGACAAAAAAATACCATGCTTTTCTACAGGATCACATGCACACTGTAGAGCAAGCTCTTTTAGTTCAGGGAATTGAAAAAAGTAAGTTCCTTATTTCTAAGAGAAGGGTGTTTTCTTTTTGGCTTATAAATATTTTATACTGGTGGTTTAAAATCTATGTTATTAAGCGTCCATTTTTAGTTCATAGAATTTTAGAAGAACAAGTATCCTGGGAGAAAAACCCAGAGTGAGTAATCCAAAACTTCCATTAAGACAACTGTGTTTTGAAGGGCCCACTAACTTTTTAAGGGGGGTAGGGATATAGGTATTTATATAAACGCCAGAACTAAAACTACTTTTCTGTAATTAACCTATATTCACTGGGGGAGGGATATATTTTGGTAAGATCTGCATATTACTTTGAGACAGCCACTGATGTTTCAACAAACCAAATAAGTAAACCTTTTATTTTGAGCCATTATACCCAATGGTTAGTGTTGCAAGTAAAATTGGAATACAGCCCCTCTTCCCACTCCCCAGAAAGACAGTTCTGATGACAAGATACCTTCTTCAATGAGACTTAGCCATACTTGCTACAAGTAATCAGCTAAAACACTGAAGTCTTATCTTCATAGTAAACTATTGGTTTGTTACATTTGACAATATTACAATAAAACAGAACCTATCAATAGTCTTCCACTTCTTGCAACATGTTTTCAATAAGTGTCTGGGCATCAGTTACTTATTTGTTAAAAAAAAAAGTTACAATTATCCAATAACATTTAAAACATTGTTTATAGATTAAAAATATGCAAAGTGACAACCATCCCTTGAAGTAATCCTAATCAATCTTTTAACCAGAAATATATAATTTTCCCTGTAGGTGCCTGCCTTTCCTTTAATCTTTTCCCCACTCCCAATTCTACTGCACACCCAGATAACCAGATGTGTACAACAAAGCAGCAAACTGATCAGGAGAGCTGTAGAATTAACAAGGTTTCTACTGCTAGGTGCCATACTGTAGAAGAAAAAAATGGAGATGGAAAAGAGGGTATAAATCTGAATTTGTTGAAAATGGTATAATAAACAAATACTTTTATTTTAAACCAAGTTTAGAAGCAAAAAGGAAAGTTACAAATGGGAATGGGAAGAACTTGTAAATACAGAAGTTTACTTGCACTTTATAGGCTAAATTCAACTTGTGCTGGCAAATGTAAGCGTCTGGAAACATACCTACAAAACTTTAGCAAGAAGTATTATATAAATTGTTATAATCAAAGCAAAGTGGTTTCCATTGATGAGAAAAAGAACATCAGGTAGGAATAAATGGCTTACAGACAAAAAATTGTTTTGGAAATCAAACAAGAATGTATTATCAGGGACAGTAGAGAGATAAAAGAGACATTAGAGATCATTCGGTCCAACCCTTTTCATTTTATATATAAGGAACAAACTCTGGGTAAGGCAAGAGACCACAGAGTTAGGTACGACAGAGCTGAGAACAAAAGATGAATCTCTTAATCCTTGTCCAGTTCTCTAAACTAGGTCACCTATGGACCAAATAAAATTTAATAAGATGGTCTAGTTTGGTGGTTCTCAGCATTTCTAACCATGCATGCTAATAAAAAAAAACCCCAAAGATAAATTAGCCCCTAGAAATGACTACAGTATTTAATATTACACAATCTAGATGCCTTAACTGGGGAAATATAAGGATTGATTAGAGGTATCTACCTCCATCATTTGTAACCCTTATGATGAGACATATAATCCTATCATTTAATAAAATGGCCCCAGTGACTGAGGAGACTATCCAGAGATTTTTAAAAAATTGATAAGAATTAACAAGGGAGGTAATTGTCAACCTCACTGCTATAAATTTAAATATGCATCCATTCATTATTTCATCCAACAAACATCTAAGTGCTCACACGAGCCAGGTTTTTCTATAAGCACTAGAGATAAAAAGATGAATAAGACATGGTCCCCTTCCTAGAGGAGCTTGCAATCAGTCTAATGGGGAAGACAAACATATAAACCAGATAAATTATATTACAACATTTAATATTTCAACAGAGATATGAACAAAGTGCTTTTTAAAAGGGTAAACATATGAACTGTCTAATGACCAAGTCTACTAATTCGTGTAGTATTTTGAGGTAAAGACTATCATGGTTACTATAAACACAATCTCATGGTTGATCAGAAAAAAAGGAGACAGCAGCAGAGTTCTGTAATTTTCTTTTGTTGTAAAGTTGGTACTGAAATCACAATGCCTATATGTAGTACTTCCACTCACTCACTCAGGACTTTAGGTAAACCACTCCATTTCTAGCAACTTGTTTTCTTATTAGTAAAATAAGAATTACCATCTACTTAAAAGAGGTGTCTTGGGTTTTAAATGAAAAATATAAACGGAGTAAACTACTAGTATTTATAAACATACTCATGAATTAAAAACCCAATAGCAACACATCACTAAATAACATTAATAATTAAAGCCAGATTAATTCTTAAAAAGTACAACTGTGAATCTAATGAATACTGGGAATATGTAATCCTCATGCGAGGGGACCATATCGAGTCATAGTTGGTCTTCTGATTCATTCAAAGCACCAAGCCTCAGAATATTTTAAATTCTTAAGTTATTAGGCAATTTCAGGCTGGGGAAGTTGATGAGCTATTTATAAGCTTAACTGAATAGAACTGGTATTTTTAGTTACCTTTCTAGGGAAATTTACAATAAAAATTGAAGCTATAATCTAATCATAAAGCCAAAAATAGAATGGAGATTTAACTGGCCTTGGAAAGATTTACTTTCTTTATAATACCTGTTTGGTGTAAAGAGAAGAAACGTGAGCCTCTGCCAATTTGGCATCTTTCACGACTACTAAAAAGAAAAGAAAACAAACTTACCTAATGAATCAGAATAGCACATAGTAAACACACAAGAGACTACATAAAAATATACAACAGTCTAAGTAAACTTTAGAGTCATTATTTTAGCAAATGGAATCTGAGTTTGAAATTTTATATATAAATGTATACTAACTGCAAGTAAAAACATTCCTATAAAATTGTACTGCCATAAAAACATAACAACTATAACCCCAGTATAAGGGGAAAAAACACAAAAATACCATCCAAGTTCTAGTACGGCAGAAGATTGGTACTGCTGGGATTAGGTTTTGATTGTGTTGGCCCCAAAACAGAAGTAGTTTTGTTAAAATGTGTTTAAAAAAAAATTCACTATAATCTTGAGAGGCAGAAATATTTGAAATGAATATATTTTAAAAAGATATAGTAATCTCCTACACTCATTCTATAAAGAATATATTTATTTCCTGAAAAAGGTTTGGTTAACTTTCAATTAATTATATTCATGTGCCAGAGAATTCTACTTTAAAAAAAATCACAATATTGTTGCAAATGTGAAAGATTTTTATATAAGTATAGTAAACGCACACTTAAAATATCAGACTGGAACACTTACCAAACAGTGTTTTCCTAAAGTAGTATCTATAGTACATTTCTTTATTCATACATCTTCAAATGGTCAAGTTTTCTTTCATACATCCAAAATGTAATATGAAGTTGTCTTATTCACCAAATGTTAGCGCTACTTGAAGTCTGGTTCCAAACTAATCAGCCTGCTTTTAAATTTTAAGACATCTGTTGAAAATTTATATGATCAAACCAAACTGAAGTGGTATAAATTTTAAACATTGGATTGTACATCATTATAAAGGTACCAGTAACCATTATTATTTAGTGATTATAGCTCCTTTTGATAGTTAGGGGGAAGGCAGATCACCATCTGGAATGGTCTGTTTCATTTTCTCTCTTTTTTTCTTTTTTTTTTCTTTTTTCTTTTTTCTTTTTCTTTTTCTTTTTTTTTTTAAATCAAGGAACATTGTCATGAATTTTTTTCATTGCGTTTTTTTTCTTTTTTTTCTTTTAAGAGACCATTCCACTTTATTTTTAGCATCCAGATGCATAAGAACTCACGTAAAGCAGTCATACACCATTATCATTAACATTCATGTGATAAAATACATACACAAATCCAACAAATGGCTAATACATAGTAAAGCCTAAGCATACTACTATGTAATATTATGAATACATAACTTGGAGACTTTAGGGTACTATGTCATCTATTCATTTTTGAAAACATTCATTAAGATTTTAAATGCAAATTCATTCCTTAGAGTAAAACAAACTCTTCTATGTTATAACAAGTATTGGGTCATAAGTATTCAAATCTATTCATTAATTTACAAACAACCCAAAGAATTCTGTAATGTTCAATAGAAGTATGTAATAAAAACATTGCATATGTTCTATTGTGATGTCTTTAGCAATTGTTTACTGAAATAAAATGCAAACATCAATCTTTCAAAATACAAGATCAGAAGGTAGTTTTCTTCTCTTTTATCTATTTTTGAAATCCATCTTCATCATATTTTACCAAAAATTGTTTTTACAAATATGTAAAAGTACATTAGATAATACTAATGAAACACAGGTAGAGTTCTAGCATATGCAGATCAATGATCAGTCAAATCATCTTCTCCAAGAACGAGATTCATTGTCCTCTTCTTCTTCATCATCATCTTGAAGTAATGAGTCATCCACCAAAGACTCTTCCTGAAACTTTAGGTTAAGATGTATTTAGGAATTTACCCAAAAAAAAAAGAAAAAAGAAAAGAAAAAGAAAAAAGAAAAAAAAAGAAAAGAAAAAAGAAAAAAATAAAAAGAAAAAAGAAAGAAAAAAAAGTAACACTTTTAAACACTTTCTCTCTCAAGAGTTGAATACAAATGGTTATCTCTGGCTAATACATTTCAGAAAACAAAGTAAAGCAGTCCTTATCCATTCAAGCTCTACAATATGTCTTACTGCTTACATGAAGTAAGCCACAAATATCAAATTAAGATTTTGGACATGCCACTTCTCCTACTCTAACAAATCATGCCATCCACTGTACTTCAAAATACTGCTCAATGCTTCTTTCAAAAAGGAATACATCCATTTTCACTGACTTACCCTAACTCTCAACACTCAAATGACCAATAACTTAGAAAAATTCTATCACAATTTCAATTTTTTTGCTATATATAATTTTTTTGAAGGAAAACACCACCTCTTTCTTTCCCCATTCCCTTCATAAAAGCTTTTCAGACTGCTTCCCAAACTTCAAAATACCTAATACCAGGAGCTCTCCTGCTTTTCTCCCCATTCAATTCAAACTCAGGGAAGGACAAAGGTATAATCTAAAATATAAAATGACAAATCATGTACATGAGTTTCAAATACACATTTATTCTTGCATTTGACTATGGATATGCATAACAGACTTGAAATGCTCTTCAAACAAAATGAAGCACCATTATGGAAATCTAACAAATGTAAAACAGAATCTTTTAGTTTCCTTACCTTGCCTTTATTTTTAACTTCTTCAATTTTTTCCTATAACTTTTTTTTCATGATTAAGCAAAACAGAATTGCTTACTTTAAATCTTTTTGTCTCAAGGACTTTATAAAATCACTGTCCTACCTGCCATACCTTTTAGCCCACTGAATAGCTGGTGGTACCTGGGAAAAATACAATCTCCCATACTTACCCTGAAGCTAGAGTTTTGCTGAAAATGCCTCTCTCAGCTACATTCCCAGCCCCAGCACATAGTTACGGAACACTATTTTATCATTCAGGGCTCGGCTCTATTGGCAATAGACCTTTAAGATTATTCTGGACAGACACAATCATTCTTTCCTGAGGGTTCTGATAGCATGTTGTTCAGATCTTCATTTGGCACATCACTATGCCTGTTATTGTAATTAGTTTCTTCCATTTCTGCCACCACCCTCTTTTCCAGATTATAAGCTCCTTGATGATAGGGACCGTGTCTTATTCATTTTTGTGCCTATCACAAAATCTACCACATAGCAGGTAGTCACTCTAATGTACTAAAGCAATACGAATTTAAAAAGAAGGCTGAAATGTTGATAGAGCAATTGAGTAAAATAAATATCCTAAAATGTAACATTATTACAAGATTTCCTGTGGATACAAATCTAATGAATAATTATCTTCCTGAGGAATTAAAAACTGACATATCACATATTCTTTTTGGGTTAGCAATCAACAATTCTCATTAATCCATAAAATATATAGTTGTCTGCATTTATCTGATCTCCCCTGGCTGGAATATGGCTTAGGAATAAAAGTATTACATTAAAATCACAGCCATAAAAAAAAAAAAATCACCTTTTATAAATGAATTATGAATAATGATGTAAAAACAAGTGAAAAAAATAACATACTTCCTCTTCATCAGGTTCAACTTCTTCCGATTCCACAGCTGAAATATTAGTTATTGGTTTATTCCATGCCAGTTTTAAATCCTGCCCTTTGAAACGAGCTCCATGAATTGCAGCCTAAAACAATGAAGAATATGGAGTGAAGAACATTAACCATTTCTGAAGAAAAATTTTTTTAACATCTCATATCTAGAGAGCTAAACTCAGACAGCTGTTTATTCATTTGCTGCTTAGTCACTTATCCTTCACCTTACTATTATAAAATCCTACTAGTGGAGACAGGCCCAGCGGCAGACACAAGCAGACGCAGGTAGGCCTGCGGCGGGGGCCCGTGGAGGTAGACGGGCCCAGCAGCGGCAGCCGACAGGGATATTCAGACCCGGCGGCAGCTGGCAGAGACATTCAGGCCCAGCGGCGGCCCACAGAGGTAGACAGGCCCGGCGGCAGACACAAGCAGATACAGGTAGGCCTGCGGCAGCGGCCCGTGGAGG